GACCTCCTATTCTCCCCCTCAAGCAGGAGCATGAACATTGTGAATGCCTGACTTGAAAAGTGATGAATGATTGTTGATATGTGCCCAATAATGAACTGGAAGAGGGAACGACCATTTTATGAAACGTAAAGGCCTCAATCGGTACTTGACTATATTTGATGGCGCAAGCCTGCAAATTGAAAGCTAGGCAAAAAATGAATTGAATAGAAAAGCTCTTACCAAAAAACAGATGTTGGAGCCCACAATGGCCAATTGGGCCACATGGCCCACACTAGAAATTGAAGACATATTTGAGGCGGCACACAAGGGGAAAGAAACCCTTATGCCTCTTGGTTTCGTCAATTCTCCCTAGTGCCCCACCTACCTGCTGCACTCTTCTCTGGCTAAGTGAACGACGACGGAGATGATGCGACAGCGTCGGGACACGGATGACGATGGCACGACTTGCCGGTGATGCTCAACTGATGGGGACGAGAAGATTTAGTCGGATGAACTTGGATCCGACTGAAATCAGGGACTTTCCTAGATGCGACGACGACCGGGAGAGAGATTGACTTGGCGCCGCGGGCGATGATGACGTTGGCGACAGTGACATATTGACAGGAGGCAAAACTGGAGACGGTTTTGACACTCGACCGTTTGATGAGGACGACGGCGGTATTGACGACGATATTGAGAGCTTCAAGCTTCCTCGAGCAAGATCCGAGGTCTGCGCCTTTGCGATTGACGATGATAGTGGTAGTCCTGGAGGTTCGACGCTCAATTTCTCCCTACTTCTACAGCCGACGAAAGGCGAAGGTTTGAAAGGCCACGGTACCGAGAATAGCAGAGATGGCACCTAGGCAAAGGTGGTCGTGTCTGATCGAGGGGACGCTGAAATGATGTTGGAGATGCTAACATTGGGTTGACTGACGACGGGCTGGACTCCACCGAGGACGCCATCTTTGCTAGATTTTGATGGACCTGGCGACGGATCTGAGACTCACGAGCATCGCTGATGCGATAGCATGTAAGGCACAAGTCAAATAACAGGGTTGTTCGAACCATTTGAGTATATGCAACTCCAGGGAAAGAGTCACAACTACTATATTTATTCATTATAAAAGTTATGGGGAACTTATTAGTAGAATTAAAACAAAACTAGATACAAAGGGTTTTGAACGACGGGGAGAGTGGGGATCCATAACTCATGCTCTTACCAATGTTTTTACAACAAAGTTTATTTTGGTTGTGAAATGTTAGCATTCATGACCAATTTATTTGGAAGTTAAAAGTTATAAAAATTGATAGCCAATTGAAAAAAATTATAACCACATAAAGATTTGCTAAATGGTTTTTATTTATATTTTCAAGCAAATATTATTGGTTATCAATTTGAAGTAAATTTTTGGAACTAATTTATATTGTAGACTAAGACGACTAAACAATTTGGTTAACAAAATATTTAGTTGAAATTATTTATTGAGAATTGGTTAGGTAGTCGAAGGAATTAAGTGGAGATTTGAACGGCAACGAATGTTTTGTTTGGAGCTGCTTATGTCGAGAACAGAGAGCGGTTGTCATTTTGATATAGTAGCGAGCGATATCGAAAAGTAGATGAATATAATTGAGTAGAGATTTGAACGCAGGCGGATTTTTTTCTTGTTTGGAGCTGCTTCCATCGTGAACGGAAAGCAGCTGTCGTTTTGATATAGCTGAGAGCTATATTGAGCAACAGAGGAATTGAGTGGAGATTTGAACACTGGTGATGGACGGAGTCGATGATGTTCTTTTCGCGAGATATGCGGTGGATGAAGTCGTTGATGTTGTTTCGTCTAGATCTGTTGATGGGAGATGTTGCAGTCTATTACTTCAACTTCTGATGGAGCAACAAAATTTGGAGATTCTAATGAGATCTCATTTGTCAACTTTGAGTGCGATGGAAATCCTAAAGGTACGCTTTTCTCTTTTGCTAATTTTTCTTACCGGTTCATGTCCCAATGTAGATTAACCACCCCACAATTGTCATAAAGTATTCCTCAAACACCAAATATATAGTAATGTTTGATATATTTCATTGACGAAAACAATATCTCGACACTTGTAATTGGCCGGATTGGAGACGACGTGGCTTGGACGAGTGCGATAGTGGAAATCCGGCGAACTATTGGCCAAAATTGGAGACTAAGGGGCTTGGACGAGGCAGAGGATATGGACTCGTCCTCTCTGTTGTGGATATCAGCGGTAGTGGCAAAAAATAAGAAATAAAATGCTAGGGTCCTAGAGATTGTGGGACATAAAAGGAGGTTTCAAGACAGTTCTCTAATGTAAATAATAACGAAAACAAGTTGCATAGCAAATTTACTTGGCCGAGATGGCAAGGAAGTCTCCCTATAATCAAATAGTCACTAGTTTGAGCCCACACAAATCCCTAATTGCTGAATTTTTTTTCCAAGCCAAGGGGGGTGCAAGCACCCCCACCTCCCCACATAGCTCCGCCACTGAATCCACATACTCCAACAAAACATTTGACAATCGCAACCAAATTGGCAAAGCCTTACGCCCTAGATCCTCCACATTGATGCTTGGAGCCTAGGGACGGAGATAGAGAAAATTTTCATAGTAAAACTAAGGACCATTATCCAAAATCCAATCATATGTAGACTGAGACGGGAGAGAGTAAAAAAACCCTAATAGACAATCGCGACCCCAAATTCTATTTGCCCATCGCTTGAGAACAATCAAAGGAGGCGGAGTCTGGAGAAACTACCCAACCAAGCACAGCCTCCATCGAGCAGGGAGACCGCCATCGACAACCTCAGGCTTGATACAAAATAGCCTATTAGCTTCAGCAATTCCAAACAACTTCGCCCAAGGCTTCGATGGCTGACCTTCCCTATCCGCAATAGGACTCGATCCAGTTGCCTCTCCTCACATGAGAAAAGAAAATGATAAGGAGAAAGAAGGAGTACACCGGCGCAGGTGCCGACACGATCCGTTAGGACCGACGGTCGAAACCTAGCGAACAAACAAACGAAAAGCCTCTCTCTAGAATTTCTCACTGAAGGGGTCGAGTGGGTCTAGTAGATAAACTAATTTTCATTAGAGTTAGTGCGTGGATTCTTACATTTGTTTACTCTCTCAATAACTTCGGATACGGTTAGTTTCACATTATTTGGACTCAATTTGTTTATGCATTTGTGACGGACTGAACCCACATATTCAGGGATCAGTTAGCGTGACTACCCCTAAAGGGGTAGTGATTTTTGACACCCCCTTTATGATTGGCCAATTTTATTTCCAATCATTGGCAAGTATTAATTAAACTGATTTTTTATTTTTTTAATCTTGTAATTTGGGGTCTCTCACCACATTGGAAAAGAGAAAGAATCTGGGGAAAAACGAAATCACCCCCATTAATTACATAATTAATTTCTCTCACTGGTACATTAATTACACGTACCACTCCACTGGTACACGTACCACTCCACTGGTACACGTACCACTCCACTGGTACACGTACCACTCCACTGGTACACGTACCACTCCACTGGTGCGAGCAATCCACAAGGTAGGTTAGAGTGAGAACAATACCAGTGCAATGATATTTTTCATAACAATGATAAACAATAATAGGGAAAAAATAGGAACTTTCCATTAGTAGCCAAAAACTGTGTTCCAAAATGGGTTGCAAAATTAGGGAAATGCCAACAACAATGCCAAAAGCAATAAATTATCATTCGAATGTGAATAAACATAAAGTCTTCACAATTTTTTAAGCCTAAACAGGACATATGGTTACACGTACCACTCCACTGGTACATGTACCAGTGGAGTGGTACGTGTACCAGTGGAGTGGTACGTGTAATTAATGTACCAGTGAGAGAAATTAATTATGTAATTAATGGGGGTGATTTCGTTTTTCCCCAGATCCTTCCCCATTCATAATTACCAACGTTTTACTCCTTCCCCATTCATAATTATTATCACAATTAAGGCTTTCCCAATTTACAAGATTACAATAAATAAAGTAAAAAGCTTAAATGGAAAAGTGACCAATCAAGAGGAGGGTGTAAAAAACCACTACCCCTTTAGGGGTTAGCATAGTATCCGACCCCACATATTCAAGTTCAAACCATCGGATGAAACGTGAGGGCGAGGGAATTTGTTGGTTCATGAGAAGATGAGGCATGGAAAGCACTCACTCACTTTTACTCCCCAGCATGGGGCGCGCCTCTTGAGTCTTGATGGAAAAACTCAACCATGGGGCTTGCATTTAAAAGTTTTTTTTTTTTTGGTAGAATGTATTTAAAAGTTTTAAACTGAAATACATAAAATGCAATAAAGAAAAAATAGAGGAGGATTATTTTAGTTAGTACCGGGAATTAAATATCTTATATTTTTCGGATTTTTCCCCCACGGATATTGTTTTATTAAAAGAGTTACCCAAAATACAATATTTCAAAAACTAAAACTTCCAAATTTACTGTTCTAATACGTGCGCTCCAATTATCTTCAAAAGTGGGGTAAAAACGAATTGAGCATGGTTGTCACGCCGGCCGGCGTGCCACCGGTTGTACCGGGTTCAACCGGTACCGGTCATAAAACCGGCGTGACACCACCGGTATGACCGGCATGATCGATATACGAATTTCTAAGTAAAATGACCTTATTTTAGAGAATTTAATTGATAAAAATTATTTTATTATTTATTTTATGAGTATAAAAGTTAAATATTGATGTTATTTGTTGGATTCAAGTATAAATATTTAGGTATTGACGTTAAATGTCATGTTTAAATATGAGTATTTATAATTTTATTTGTAATAATGACCGGCATGAACCGGCACAAACCGGTATGTGCCACCGGTTAAACCATTCCACTTGCTAAACCGGCACACTGGCATAAACCGGTTTGACAACCTTGGAATTGAGGGAAAGAAAACGCCGGTATTTTGGTTAATTTGTTTTCATAAGGAAAATCCCTGTATTTTCTCCCGCTATCATCTCAATCTGCGAACCCATTGCTTCATTCGTTCATTCGTCAAACCTATTGCCTCAACTCAACTCTGCTGTGCCTGTGAGTCACTTACCCGTACTCTTTCACATATACAGCCAATTGGGAGGAGTTACGGTGCTAATTGAAGAAAGCTTTGGACTTTCGTCAACCTCCGTTCTTCCTCTTCCACTCCATACTCTGCTTGCTGGTTAGTTCCCTTTCTTCTTTTCCTTCTCGCTCTCTTCCTCTCTTAGAATACTTCTCCTGTTTCTTCTCCCCAGTGGCTCTGCTCTGTGGGACAAAATCCCCACTTCCTCACCAATAGGCAATAGCCCTCTTGCTGGAGTCTTTCTCTTCTAATCCCTCCGCCACCCATTCTTCGGCTCTCAACTCTGAGCTCATGTCCAAACCACGGCGGCCTCACTACCCAGGCGAATCTCCTCCCGCTGGATTTCCAATTCCATCGTCTGGGAACCGCTGATCGTGTTGTGGTATCCATATGATACTTAGAGCATTGAGCTCCCTACCTTCCCTTCCAGGCATGCCTTGCAGCTGTTCGACGCAATGCCCGACTCTTTCCCAGCTCTGTCGACAGCAGAACTAGGCCAATTGCCCGAACTGGAATCCCCTAGCTTCTTCCTCGAGGAAGATGACCCATTTGAATCGAATTCCTCCACGGTATTGAACAGAAACCCATTCGAATCAGTCCCCTCCGCCAAATTCCTTTTCTGAAACAAACACCAACTCTTGCTCTTCTTACTTCAAATAGACTCGCTCCCTGCTTTAATATTGCCTTCTAGTTGGCAAATCCGCTCTATGATATGTAATCCATTGTTTCTTCCCCGCATTGTCCTTTCTTTATAATGCGCCTGGCTTGAATGTGAATTGAAACTTAAAATCTTGGCTCATAACATGTTCTTGTTCCATAGGCATATCAGTAATCTTGTTAGAATGAATGTTGCATTTGGCTATTTAATTCTGACTCAAACTAGTTCACCTTCTTCGTGTTATGCCTTCTGCGACATATTACCCTTTCTCTAATTTTACTCTGCTTGAACCCATGAAACAGATGTCATTTTTCACTACTGGCAGACTGCCACCCTCCAACTAGAGGACCAAGAGCATGCTGTAAACAAAAATGGCTCTTTCTTTAGTAGCAGGGTATTCCTACTCGCTTCTCGGTAAGGGTTTCTCAATCTCCAACAGTCTCCACAACAACAATAGCCACCACGCACGAGATGCAACCTACATCAAACGTGCGGCCGAGATTGCCGATAGCTCATCTGGGTTCACTTCTCCCCACCCTAATTTTGGGTGCGTACTAGTTACTCCCTCCGGGAAGGTAGCTGGAGAAGGTTATCTCTATGCTCAGGGCACCAGACCAGCAGAAGTTCAGGCAGTTGAAGCTGCAGGTCCCTGGAGCAAAGGTGCAACAGCATATCTGAATATGGAACCCGGGGATTGCCATGGAGACCACACTGCTGCCTCTGCTCTTGTTCAGGTTTCTCACTTTTTTGTCTTTGTTTTGCACCAGATTGGATGTTTGACACTGGTTATTTGATTTAGGCAAAGGTTACAAGGGTGGTGGTTGGAATGAGGCATCCATTGAAACATCTTCAAGGCAATGCTATTCGGGCTCTAAGAAGTGAAGGTTTGCAGGTTGATGTTCTTGGAGAAGATTTGCAGAGTAAGATAATTGAGGTATGTATTGGATTCGTTAGAAATCATGCTTTCTGGTCGTATTCAATTGGGAGATTTATTTTGAATAGGGTTGTGACGTTGTGTAGAATGGAAACCAACCCTATGTTTAGAGAAGCTATAATAAGGGGAAAAAATATGCTTCCGTTTTGCTGCATTCTAGTGTTGTAAGGGAGTGCTGGCTGAAGCAATGGCTTGATTTGACTCAATTGGTAACCAACAGTGCTGACCTACAAAACATCCAATAACAAACTCCTCCTACTGATTCCTACAGACAAGTGTCCTACTAGTTAAACTAGAATAGTTTCTGCGATTATCTTTGCTTTTTTGGTTTTCCAGATGAGGTTTCATAGTGTGCCTGCGTTTTTGTTTGGTAAATATGCTTGCAGGAAGCTCGGAAATCATGCCTTGTTGTCAATACTCCTTTGATTTACAGGGCTACTTCTCAAGTTCCCTTTTCTTTTCTCAAGTATGCTATTACCGCTGATGGTAAGGGAAACAAATGTAATGATCCACTTGTTATACTCTTTATTTATTGATAATGTTATTATTATTATTATTTTCTATTTCTATGGGGGGCATGCAGTTGTAGAGAAAGGGAGAACACCTAATCTCCTCCCTTGACTTCCAACAGGAAAAATCGCTGCTAGTAGTGGACATGCAGCGTGGATAACCAGTAAGGAATCACGGGCTCGAGTTTTTGAACTCCGTGGTAGAAGTGATGCTGTTATTGTCGGAGGAAATACTGTACGCAGGGATAGTAAGTATGATCACGACGGTTGGATATTGAACATATAGCTGTTTCGAAAATCATTTTACATGATTGTTAAAGTTGCTCCTTTTTTGTATCAGATCCAAGGTTGACGGCTAGGCATGGTGGGGCTCATATGCCTTTGCGGGTTGTAATGACTAAATCCCTTGATCTACCCGATGAAGCAAATCTTTGGGATGTTTCTGATGTGCCCACCATGGTTGTAACTCAAAGGGGCGCAAGAAAGAGTTTCCAAAAAATACTTGCATCGAAAGGAGTTGAAGTGGTGGAGTTTGATATTCTAAATCCAAGAGACGTTATGGAATATTTTCATGACCGTGGATATCTCTCCATCATGTGGGAGTGTGGAGGAAGACTTGCTGCTTCTGCTATTTCAGACGGCGTGATACACAAGGTGTTTAATTTTTTCCATGCTTTTAATTGGTTATGTTATCTATTAGACTTGCATCATCCATAATATTTGTATACATGCTGTGAATTTTACATAGAACTCATATGGTCAAAGTCCTCTAGTGGAGTGACAAATGTTAAACATAGATTTTCATTTTGAATCCTTTCTTCTTTATGTATAAATTCATGCAAGTTTATCATCCCACCTCTAAGCATCAATTAATAGTTGTGTTTTAGTGGGGAATGATCTGAGAACAAGGTTACAGAGAATTTATAACTGATATATCCAGTAACCACTTGATAGGTATGAATAATTAATTTTGATGACACAAATATCAGGCAATTCTGACTTGCTCATAACTTCACAAGTCTCTAGCCTTCGCATTACAGTTTTGCGTATCCTTTTATCTTTGCAGGTTTATGCATTTCTTGCTCCGAAAATAATTGGAGGTACGAATGCACAGTCTCCTGTGGGTGAGCTGGGGATGGTTGAGATGACTCAGGCCTTCGATTTGCTTGACGTTTGCTATGAGCAGGTTGGTATGAACTTGTTGGTTTAGTTTCTGTTTTCACTTTTGTGTTCTTCCTCGTATTTTTTGTTTAGTTGAAATGTGTTCAATGGAAATGAACATCTTTTCGAGCGTATGCTACTATCCTAATTTTGTGCTACTTGTGTATTTGAACTCCAGATTGGCCCAGACATGCTTATGAGCGGATCCCTCCAACCGATACCAGACCCGACACCTATCATCCCGTCAGAGAATGAGACGTTGGCAATTGATCCCACTGTAAACCCATATGAACCGAGCATCATATTTTTCTACAAGACATGGGATCCTTATGGAGCATTTTCAAATTTTTCTGCACATTCAATTAAGATGCCTGAAGAAAATGGTGGTAATGTGACTTGGTCGAGTGTAGAGCACTATTACCAGGTATGCCTACTATGCACAGATTCAACAACTTGGCTTTCAAGTCTTGAAGTTGTATCTTTCTTTTGGCTGAACTAAACCAAGTAAACGTTCTCTGAAACTTTAGGCCAGCAAATTTATGGGAGTCAGTGACTCGGGAGCAAAGGACTGTATTGGGAAGATAAAATCGGCTAAGAGTCCTGAAGAAGCAGCAAAAGTTGGGAGGTCAATGCAAAGGCTGCATCCTAACCTGGTATGTTTTTGTTTCTGATCTCTTTAACCTTACTCTGTATGATGAGTTTGTTTTTTTTCTTTTTCTTATTACAACATGCATTGTTGGATCTGAATAATAATTAATAAACTAACCTCAAATGGCTGGCCTGATGATAAACTTTTATTGGAACCCTCTTTGGCATATTACTCAGTACTTCTTGGTCCTTTCAGGTGAGAGCTGACTGGGAAGATGTGAAGATTGATGTGATGTACAGTGGATTAAGGTGCAAATTCTCAAGTTATCCTTATTTGAAATCAATGCTACTTGCAACTAGTGGGTCTGTTCTGGTTGAAGCTTCACCGCATGATCTTTTCTGGGGTGGGGGCCGGGAAGGGGAGGGCCTAAACTATCTGGGCAGGCTACTTATGCGACTGAGATCCGAGTTCCTCGGTGAATCTTCTACTTCGAGTGAAAGTACTTGCTTAGCTCTTTAAGAACTGATTATTGGTGATGGATGATTCATCCGAACATGGGGGAAATGAAGATGGATGGCTTGCAGTTCTGACTTACATTGTGCTGCAATATCGTAAAATAAACATTATATTTGCATGAATCAATCAGAGATGTAGTCTAGAGAAGAGTAAAAGTTTTCAAGTGAGAGTTGCTATGTGCAATTGCAAGTTGTATCACAGAGGAACACGTATTCTTTTTCTGAGCAAATGGAAGGGACACTTTGCGGGTAGCAGTTTTTTTCTGTTGGAATTTGGCGGGAAATTTTGATTGGCCGCAAGTAGCAACATGCATACTTTAGTTTTAGCAATATAAATACTGAATCGCTAAATGTCGCCCTAAGAATTGCTAAACATCGCCCTAACTTAAATGTAAAATTACTCACATACCCTTAAACAAAAACTCAAAATAGGTTTAAACAAACAAGCCCTTAGGGATTCAAATTCAAATCCCTCCCCCCTCAACTCTCTCAGCCGCCCTTTCAAAAAAAAAAAAAAAAAACAAACTCACCCGCGACCCTCCTCTCACCCGCGACTCTCCCCTCACCGGCCGACCTCCTCTCACCTTGCCGTCAATTCCGCCGACGCCGACCGCACCGCCCGACGCCTCCTCCACCCGCGACCGACGGCCGACCCTCCTCTCACCGCGACCGACCTATCGCCTCTGCCCTCTGCAATCTCCCGCCGCCGCCGGAGAAGACTCCTCTCTCGCCGCCGCGCGACTCCCGCCCGCGTCCAGTCGCCGCCGCCGACTCCTCTCTCGCCGCCCGCGTCCAGTCGCAGCCGCCAACTCCTCTCTCGCCGCCCGCGTCCATTCGCCGCCGCCGAAGGATCTCGCCGATCCCGCTCGCGTCGTCCCCGCCCGTCGCCGTCGTCGCTCGCATCGTCCCGGAGAAGGTAACGACAGCAAGGCGCGATTCGCCCGTGGCCCGACCGCGGTCAACGCGCGGCTGACCGTCGGTTGAACCGCGGTCAACGTGCGGTTGAGCCAGCGGCTGACCGCGGTCAAAGCGCGATTGACCGATGGTCAAACCGCGCTTTGACCGCGGTCAGCCGCTGGCTCAACCGCACGTTGACCGCGGTTCAACCGACGGTCAGCCGCGCGTTGACCGCGGTCGGGCCACTTTTTTTTTTAATTTTGTTTTTAAATTTCTGTATTTTTATTATTCGTTAATAATAAAAAAATTAAAAAAATATACTTAATAAAAAGAATTTAGTTATATTATTGATAAATGTTAATTTAGTTATAACGATAATTAATAATAACGTATTCGATAAATGTTAATTTAGTTATAATTTAGTTATATGATATAAAAAAATTAAAATCGTATTCGATAATTGTTAATTAAAGATAACATATTTAAAGAACATTATAAAAAAAATTAAATATGTGTTTTTATCATTTTAATAATCAAAATTTCAAAGTAATTCATTTATCTACTTAATTATTAATAATTTTACCTTGATTAAAAAGTAAATAATTATTACATAGAACGTAACATAAATGTTAAAACTATTAGTTTTATAATTTTAATTATGAAAATCTTAAATTAATTACTTTATGTACTCCATTATTAATAATTCAAACTTTTTTTTGAAGATGTCTGGACATGGAATGGGTAAACCGGATATGATTAAGGCGAGAAATAAGGAGAGAATGGAGGGTCGTGCTTGTAGACTTATGGCGACTGGTAGGAAGGAAAATGAAGAAAAAAATCCACCTAAGGTTAGAAGGAAGAAGAAGGCGGATGTAGTGCGTCCTGACGGCCACCCTACTGTGGGGCAGTTGTCTCTTAGTCGAGGCACTACCAGTACTCCTACACCAGATACCGCACCGGTATGGCAGGCTAATTGGAGTGATTCCATTGACGAGGATGATGATGATGACGGTGATGCTGAGGTTGGGAATGCCCCAGATGCTGGTGCTGCTGCTGGTGATGCTGCTGTTGATGATGCTGTTGATGGTGCTGGTGATGCTGAGGCTGGGGATGCCCCACCTCAAGCTGATTTAGGCGTGGGGAAGACGGCACGGGTCGGGGTATCTTCTACTGCCTCCTCCCACTTCCGTGGGCCCGATGGACGCTATGCGTCCAGACCTAGTAGCGAGGATGGCGGAGATGGAAATAGGAAGAGGAAGACCACGAGGAAAGATATGTCGTGGTTTCTTACAGCCGAGTCTCCGATGTGTTCAGGTGGACCAGTGATTCCCGATGTGATCCCTAGCTTTGGAGGTCACATTGGCTTGGTACTGTGGAATTCCCCTGAGCAGGACCGTGGAGTGTTGGACGGCTTCCATAGGCCGAGAGCTGTAGAGACTTTGAGGCGATATAAGTGGAGTGCAGAGGGTTCCAAGGAGATGGTTGAAGCCACAGGATTGTCTCACTTGACGGGGTGCATGATGCAGCATTTAGACATGGCTCTACTGTCGGCATTTGTGGAGAGGTGGCAGCCGGACACAAACACCTTCCACATGCCGTTTGGAGAGATTTCGATCCTTCTACACGATGTGCATCACATTCTTCGGATACCGGTTGACGGAGAGCTGATGGGAGATGAGGCGTCGCAGGATACTCTTAAGTCAGACATGGGTGGTCTAGTTCGACTTTCGGTGGATGCTCAGGTTGGTGGTAAGTGGAAGTCGAAGTGGTACGATAATGGTGCTATGCATGCAGAGGGATTGTTGGTGCGTGGGGGAGAGCTGAAGATTAAGGAGATGGAGGTGCAGTGTTACCTATTTGTGTTGCTGGGATCCACGCTTTTTGTGGATAAGAGTCGTGATCGCCTTCGTCCTGCGATCAACTTGTTTCTGAAGGATCATCGACGATTGGCTGATTACGCTTGGGGAGCTGGTGCACTAGCCTATCTCTACAGACAGTTGGGAGTGGCCACACGAGCGGGTAGTAAGGGTCTTTGTGGTTGTTTGACCCTGCTTCAGGCTTGGATATATGAGTACTTTCCTCTTTTCCGTCCGAGCCAGCTGCCACAGTCTCCGGATGCACCTCGTGCTTCCTCGTGGATTTCTCCCCGTTTGCCAGGTGGGGATGAGGCTAGACAGAGGTTAGTACGTTATCGACAGTTGTTGGATGAGCTTTCAGCTGATGATGTGACCTGGACTCCGTACGGACGAGATGGCCACACAGATATACCCCGCTCCTTGTATACTGGCCCCATTCGCTTTTCTGACATTGCTGAGGGATACGATCCTTCACGTTGTCTGCGCCAGTTTGGATACCGACAGATTATCCCCGCTGCTATGACGGTACCACATGACCATTACCGTCCGGCTTCCGGCAGCAGTTACATAGTCTTTTGGGATCCGTGGGTGAATCAGTTGTGGAATAACGTGGCAGCTCGTCGTCTAGAGTTGGATTTTGCTTCTCGGCCGTGCGAGCAGCCATCGGAGATCGTGGAGGAGTACGTTGACTGGTTTCTGACTAGATCGCACCCACGGATCACCCACCCCACTGATGAGGAGCCTCAGCCTCGACCACTACTAGTTCATCAGGTTAGTTATGACTTTCTTTTGCTTTTCCAAATATAAAGGACATTTGTTATTTATTCTAACATTGTTTTCTATTTACAGTTGAGAGAGCAGATTGTGGATCGTTTAGGCCCCTTGTTGCAGACGAGGGACCGGAGTAAGTGGGAGGAGGACGGTGGTAAGCTCTATGATATGGCAGCTGGAGTTTTCGAGTTGTACGATCAGTTGGTAGGGCAGCCGCCTCAGTAGACGATTGTGTTTTTATTTGTCATCGTTTGTAGTTGAACTGAGACTATTGTGTGTTTTATTTGTCATCGTTTGTAGTTGAACTATGACTATTGTGTGTTTTATTTGTCATCGTTTGTAGTTTAATTGAGACGGTTGTGTGTTTTTTTACTTTAGTTACATTCAATGCATTGCTAAAATAGTTAATCAACATGGTAGATTACTAAATGTTTCAACAATAGAGAGTTATACAATTCGTAAATAGAGAGTTATACAATAGAGAGTTATACAATTCATCCCCGTGGGTTCAATCTATCATAAAGCGCACGCTCATGTAAGAAGAATTGATCCCACCCATTGACACTAGGGTCATGATAAATAGGCCAAAGGTAGTTAATTGGAGGCATGGGCACTTGACCATGTCGAAAGTCAAGTCGCACCCAATGATCCCCCGTAAAATGTAGTGATAAGATCCCACGTGGTCTTGTTACTCCTGGTGGGGCCGTCACAGGTAGCACGGTATAACGACCGCCTTGACTGTATACAACGATGGCCCATGAATGCAAGGTGGCGAAGACGAAGAGTTCCGCATTATCCATCCAGTTGAAAGGTCCACAGCCACTTGTTGATGCCCACCTGCAACGTCGAATGCCATCTTCTATTCCATTTGCTATTCCATCATAGTAGGCTCTATAAAGCTCAGGACGGGATTCAAGCTCCTCTAGAACAGCGCGTCTCATTTGTGGCCAATTCCTTTGGTCCCCAGTAGCTGCTTGTGATATAGCTCGAAATCCACAGTGTCCATCTGGAATAGGGTTGAACCAACCACGAACTAGTCGTTGCACGTAGGATTCCAAACAATGTAGCCATGGGTAATTCTTCCAACTAGTATTGGGAATCCGAGCAACCCTCCACGGGGCACCATCTAGCCAAAGAGCATAACACGATAAATTAATACAAAGAGTTACACTATATGTTTACCCGAAATTAGGAATATAATTTCTAACCTGTATCATTATGGATCACCGGCTCCGTCCCATTCTCGAAGTTGGTTTGTGCATTCCCATTCGGTGCACCATCTAGCCAAAGAGCATAACACGATAAATTAATACAAAGAGTTACACTATATGTTTACCCGAAATTAGGAATATAATTTCTAACCTGTATCATTATGGATCGGCTCCGTCTCATCCTCGAAGTTGGTTTGTGCATTCACATTCGGGGCACCACCTATCTCATTTAAAATAAATAGATTAGTTGTACACCATATTGAGGACAATTGAACACAACTAAAAGAAAAAGTTAATCTACCTGTATTTCCATCATTGTCCGGAGTTGCAGTCGGAAGTCTTGAACTTCTCCTCCCTCGTCTCCTCTCCACATGCTCGAAGTGAGACAGGTTTCGAGTGGTGGACGTCCTTGGGCGACCGGGGCGGGGCTGTCCCCCATGCGGTTCATCAATGCCATCATTTTCAGGATGAAGATGGCTCCGGAGTAGGCCGATTGCACCTCGAATGGTCTCGTCGCCTCTATCAAGAACCTCCTGTACTAGACCTTGGAACACACCACGGTGGTAATCACTATGGTCATCCCACTCCGGCCGAGTAGGAGGTTCACGATAGTTGATAACGGTCCAGAATGGCAACACATCATACAAGGCGAAATCCCGATTTTCACGTCGTGCTAACTGAATGGAACATCTACATGGGAGACCATAGGTAGGAAGAAACGTACATGTACAAGGTTCCCCTTCCACTGCTACCTCGAACAACATCAACCTCAGAGCTTCTAGAGTGACTTTCGTATTCAACTCTCGAAATGGTTTTCCATCCGCTCGGAGCAGCTTCTTTTGTCGGGAATCCTCCAGCAGCTTCCTGATTTGAAGGTGTTGAGCCTCAATGTAATCATCGTTCTTCTTGTATACCTACAAACAATGAAGAACAATTAGGAAACTACTAAAACTTATGTGTGTATCAATAAAGATTTATTAGATTACTAACCGTGTCGACTGCGCCAGTAGATGATTGAAGCCACTTCTTGAAGGAGGAATGGGCAGCTTCAACCCTATTAGAGCTTGTGTTACCCAAATGCCGCAGTTGATTGGTATAACATTTAGCCCACATGTGTCTAACTGGTAACCACTCAGCTGTCATATACCCCCAAAGACGTCGGTACTGTACTCCCCAACCACGTCTGAAATTCTCTAAGGCAGTATCCATGTCTTCCACTGTCAATGCATATACAGCACGTTGCCAAGACGCCATGATCTGATCCACTGTCGGTTTGGCTGCATCTATACCACAATGAGTCGTCCTTCGCACCTCCGTTAGACACTTTGCTCTCACATTCCTATCCATATGCCAAAGACATAAAATATGAGTCGATGATGGAAACATTACCCCCACGGTCTCAACCAATCCTCCTGCCTTGTCACTGACAAACACATCTGGAACAATGGGGCCAAGAAGATGTTGCAAATGCGTCAGAAGCCACTGGTACGACTCCTTCGTCTCGTCGTACACTATTGCAGATGCAATGACAAAGTTCAATCCCACTGGTGTCATGCCGACAATCTCAACCCAAGGCATATCATACTTGTTGGTCTTGTATGTTGCATCTATCACGATCACATGGTGCCAAGCTCGCAACATCAATATTGACTCGGGGTGGGCTAGGAACAAGTGTGTAAGCACGTTACGATCGTCCATATACTGCACATAGTAACCCTTCTCCTGCGCCATGCGGAAAGTATACTGTAAGGCTGTCATCTGACCAAGCTCTTCTTTCCTTATCTTGTGACACTCGTTATAAATCTGCTTTCTGTTGTGTGTTCCATTTGCACCTTTTCTGTCATTCACTGCCTTGTGGATATTCCTTGGTGGGACACCGGCTGATCTCAGCTCTCTGATGTATTGCTTGTCCTCTGTAGTCAAAACATTCCTTCCCTTTGATCCCTCCGGAAATAGCTCCAACTGATGATTGTGGAAACCCAAATTAGCACCAGGATTCTTTGTATTTGCCACCCCTAGGATCAACCAATATCCATCACCTGACCGCTCAAGCTTGATCTTAAACTCGCACCCCAACTTTTCAGTAGATGTAAGAGGCCTCGTTTCCTTACTCGGATCAGGTTCCTTCGACTTCTTCTTCCTACCATGAGTGCAATGTAAGTAATGTCGCCAAGTACCTTCATTCGTATTTTTTTTGTTCGATGCCCTCACCAAATAAAACCCAAAACCCTTTGCAATCTCAATGGCTGCTTCATATGCTTGCAACTCCGTAGTGTATTTCACGCCATTAATGAAATCCGAGGTGTAATCATGGCCATCCGGATTGTAACTTCCAATATCCTGCAATGTTATCAGTATTAAAATTAATAATCATCATAACTTCATATGCGAATCTATTATTTATGCAATAAATTTAATCTTAATTTGTAATGCAAAATCTAATCTTAATTTTCTAGATTAACACCAAATTAAATCTAATCTTAATTTAAGGCCAAATCTAATCTTAATTTCTAATGCTAATTCCTTCAATTCCAAAAATCTAATCAAAACCCAATAAATCTAATAAATTATATTAATCTTAATTTGTAATGCAAAATCTAATCTTAATTTTCTAGATTAACACCAAATTAAATCTAATCTTAATTTAAGGCCAAATCTAATCTTAATTTCTAATGCTAAATCCTTCAATTCCAAAAATCTAATCTTAATTTCTAATGCTAAATCCTTCAATTCCAAAAATAATTATGCAAATAAATCTAATAAATTATATAAATCAAAACCCAACAAATTATTTCATGGAACAATCATAAATCATATAAAAAAAAAATTATTCAACGAAAAAAAAAAAAAAACCAAAAAATGCCCAACCGCAAGTGACCTGCGGTTTGACCATGGTCGGACCGCAAATCACCTGCGGTTAAGCCATTGGTGGACCGCAATTGACCTGCGGTTGGACCATGGCTGAACCGCAGGTGATTTGCGGTCCGACCATGGTCCAACCGCAGGTCAATTGCGGTCCACCAATGGCTCAACCGCAGGTGATTTGCGGTCCGACCATGGTCCAACCGCAGGTTACTTGCGGTTGGACCATGGTCGGACCGCAAATCACCCGCGGTTCCCATTTTCTGTGTTTTTTTTTTTTTTTTTTGGTTCGTGTTCTTACCTCGTCGGAGTCGCTACTCATGATTCAGACGTCCTATCGACGATATCGGCTTCAAAATGACGATGAGAGATTTTTCTCTCCTTAGAGAGTGTTTTTTTAGTCCAAGTGATGTTTGTTTGAGGAAGGGAAGGTAAAGAAGCTATGGGGGTTAAAAGTGTAACTTTTATTCTTTTTAGGGCGACCTTTAGCAATTTTAAGGGCGACCTTTTATCTTTGCAGGTTTATGCATTTCTTGCTCCGAAAATAATTGGAGGTACGAATGCACAGTCTCCTGTGGGTGAGCTGGGGATGGTTGAGATGACTCAGGCCTTCGATTTGCTTGACGTTTGCTATGAGCAGGTTGGTATGAACTTGTTGGTTTAGTTTCTGTTTTCACTTTTGTGTTCTTCCTCGTATTTTTTGTTTAGTTGAAATGTGTTCAATGGAAATGAACATCTTTTCGAGCGTATGCTACTATCCTAATTTTGTGCTACTTGTGTATTTGAACTCCAGATTGGCCCAGACATGCTTATGAGCGGATCCCTCCAACCGATACCAGACCCGACACCTATCATCCCGTCAGAGAATGAGACGTTGGCAATTGATCCCACTGTAAACCCATATGAACCGAGCATCATATTTTTCTACAAGACATGGGATCCTTATGGAGCATTTTCAAATTTTTCTGCACATTCAATTAAGATGCCTGAAGAAAATGGTGGTAATGTGACTTGGTCGAGTGTAGAGCACTATTACCAGGTATGCCTACTATGCACAGATTCAACAACTTGGCTTTCAAGTCTTGAAGTTGTATCTTTCTTTTGGCTGAACTAAACCAAGTAAACGTTCTCTGAAACTTTAGGCCAGCAAATTTATGGGAGTCAGTGACTCGGGAGCAAAGGACTGTATTGGGAAGATAAAATCGGCTAAGAGTCCTGAAGAAGCAGCAAAAGTTGGGAGGTCAATGCAAAGGCTGCATCCTAACCTGGTATGTTTTTGTTTCTGATCTCTTTAACCTTACTCTGTATGATGAGTTTGTTTTTTTTCTTTTTCTTATTACAACATGCATTGTTGGATCTGAATAATAATTAATAAACTAACCTCAAATGGCTGGCCTGATGATAAACTTTTATTGGAACCCTCTTTGGCATATTACTCAGTACTTCTTGGTCCTTTCAGGTGAGAGCTGACTGGGAAGATGTGAAGATTGATGTGATGTACAGTGGATTAAGGTGCAAATTCTCAAGTTATCCTTATTTGAAATCAATGCTACTTGCAACTAGTGGGTCTGTTCTGGTTGAAGCTTCACCGCATGATCTTTTCTGGGGTGGGGGCCGGGAAGGGGAGGGCCTAAACTATCTGGGCAGGCTACTTATGCGACTGAGATCCGAGTTCCTCGGTGAATCTTCTACTTCGAGTGAAAGTACTTGCTTAGCTCTTTAAGAACTGATTATTGGTGATGGATGATTCATCCGAACATGGGGGAAATGAAGATGGATGGCTTGCAGTTCTGACTTACATTGTGCTGCAATATCGTAAAATAAACATTATATTTGCATGAATCAATCAGAGATGTAGTCTAGAGAAGAGTACAAGTTTTCAAGTGAGAGTTGCTATGTGCAATTGCAAGTTGTATCACAGAGGAACACGTATTCTTTTTCTGAGCAAATGGAAGGGACACTTTGCGGGTAGCACTTTTTTCTGTTGGAATTTGGCGGGAAATTTTGATTGGCCGCAAGTAGCAACATGCATACTTTAGTTTTAGCAATATAAATACCTAGTTTTCTCACATGTTCATTTCCTCCTTCAATAATATAAGGTAGAGTTTTGTTAACTTTTCTCCATTTCAAATTTTCTGCAACGAGAGTGAAAGTAGGAATGACATTTTTGTCTTTATAATTAATTATTTATCTCATATAAAAAATGTCAACTTTTCTTCATTTCAAATTTCTTGCAACGAGAAAGAAAGTAGGAATGACATTTTTGTCTTTACAATTAATTATTTATCTCATATAAAAAATATCAAACTAAGGATTAGAACCCCGATCTCTTAAAACAAAGAATCACAACCAATTACACTAAACAAATTTGTTTTTATCTTTTTTAGTACAAAACATACATCAAGTTAAACTTTGAAAATTGGATGAATTTTCCATCATGATTACCAAGCCCGCTAAGTCTACTGTATGTATTTTTATGGTGCTTGATACTTCAGTTTTCATAATAGAGTTTCATGTAATTGCGTGTTGGTAATTGGCTACCATAGAAGAAACTAATTATGTTACCGCGTGTTGTGTTTTTTAAATTTTAAATTTAAATTTAAATTTAGTGCTTTTTTATCTTTGTTCTTATCTCTATTAACTTTCTCTGAAATTCCCTTCATCGTGCAATAGTTTGCGCCCCTTTCACTGTTTGCTCCCTAATTTTGATTTTGTTAATGAGCACCAACTAGGTTAAGATGCTATTTTTTTGCACCACAAATTTACCCTAAAGAGCTTTGAACGAGGACACCTTCTCACTGCAAAGTATTAGAGACTTTAAGACTGTTCTAATGTTGAATTTTTGCAGTACCTTGCCTTCCAAGCCAATAACATTTTTTCCTGCCCGCCATAAGCATGTACATGAACCATGATTTAGTACGAAGGAGTTATCTCCACAACCAAGATCCCACTCGACTTTCAGGGAATTCTCATATGGATCTTCCTTTGAGCCTATGTCTATCCGTCCATGCCACTCAGAAATACCCCTTTCATTAGTAGCATCCATATAACTCTTGTTGCACAAGCAATATTCTAACTTTCTAAGTGTGTAGGTGTTTCAATCCTAATCCACCCTCAACTTTAGGTCTAGCAGTCTGATCCCACTTAGTGTTTCCAATTCCATCACCAAACCAAAAAAATAAATGAATATATGAGCATATTTTTTCACCTTTAGACATACTCTCATTTTTTACTGTATTTGATGTAAACACCGAGGCACAAAAGAATTACCTCTTGATACCCAATGTTGTTTTCTTCAAATGTGCATAACAAGGTTGTTAAACCCCTACCAGTCCTCCGATTGGACCCAGTCCGATAAAATTCGGGGGTTCAAAACAGTCTTCTGAAAGCCCCTGACCCTAAAGAAGGAGAAGAAGAGAAAGTGAATGAAGGAGGGGGAGAGCAACTTAGTTATGGTGCTAACAAGGTTTTTAGTTAGTATATACTAACAGGGACAGATTGGTGTCCATGTGGGCAAGTCATGATCTTATGGCTTTGGTTTGGGCATGTGAGGGGAGGAGGGCAGCTGACCGGTTCGGTTGGCTCATTCCCACGACCCAACCGAGAAAAGGGACCCACAAATTCAAAATAAAAAAACCACAACCTTTTTTTCAGTCTCCTCCAAGGTTGTCAAACCGGTTTATACCGTTGTGCCGGTTTAGCAAGCGGAATGGTACTACCGGTGGTATAACTAGTTTGTGTCGGTTCATGCCGGTTTAAAAAAAATGTGAAAACAATTAATATCCAATGTATTTAATCATATATAAATCATATTTGTGGACAACTTAGTTACAATCCAACAAATATCATCAACTTTTAACTATTACATTCATAAAATGAATAATAAATTAATTTTTTTATTCATTAAATTCATTAAAATTATGTCATTAAACTTAGAATACGTAAGTCGATCATACCGGTCATACCGGTGGTGTCATGCCGGTTTCATGACCAGCATAGGTTGAACTAGGGTCAACCGGGTGACATGCTACCGGCATGACAACCATGGTCCTCTCCTCCTTTCTCACCATCACTTTTCAGTTTCCTTCTCTCTCCTCTTTTCCTCCTCCTCTCTCTCCCAATACAAACCAGAAATCCTCTCTGTTGACGGCAGTGAGGAAGAAGACGACGACAACTGCGACAATATCCTATCTCTCTCTCTCTCTGAAGGCGATTTATCTATTTTCATTCAGGGAAAAGGGCTAAGAAGCTTTTCGAAGGAAGGTCGCTGATCAAAGAATAACTTCACAAAGGTACGCTTCTTCTCCTTCCTTATTTGTTGATTTTCTTTGTGGATACGAAGTTAGGGTTTCATGGATTTTTTTTTTGTCGAGTTGGGATCTAGGATTCGATTTGTAGATTTGGAATATTAGTTTCTTTCATAGTGGTGGATAACAGTTAGCATGCTTGGGATACTACTTTTTTATGATGTGGATATTGTTGTGTGCTATCCAGATATTGAAAATATCATGCATGGATATTTGTCATTCATGTTTGGATATTTGTTTGCTCTTTATTGGATAAGGGTTTCATGGGTTTTTTTGTCGAGTTGGGGATTCTGGATTTTGGTTGGGATCTGGGATTCGATTTGTAGATTTGGAATATTAGTTTCTTTCACAGTGATAACAGTTAGCATGCTTGGGATACTACTTTTTGATGATGTGGATATTGTTCTGTGCTGTCAAGATATTGAAAATAATATGCCTGGATATTTGTCCTCCATGTTTGGATATTTGTTTTCTCTTTATTGGATATTTCTCTATGCTTACAGGATATTTCTATGTGCTTCAGGGATTTTGCATAATGGAAGAGAGAGGGCATTCATTACGGCCAACCTCCTACTTTGGCACTATAACGCCCATGTAGTTGGGATTAGACTTGGGTATATGGGATTTGATTTGTTGATGATGTAGATTCTAGTATGTAACTGGTTGTCAAGATATTAGTTATGTGATGTATTGATATTTTTTCCCCCTCAATCAGGATATTACTCAGCCATGTATGGATATTAGTTCCCTGATATTTGTTCGGTGAGATTAAGATATTTGTTAAATGATTACTTGATATTGCTCTGTTTGGAATGTTGTAATTGTCATGTCCAAATGGTTTACTCGGTGTTATCTTCATCCTACGACTCTGAAGACATCTCGGAAAAATCCCTCGCCTTTGAAGACACCCCACACCCCAAAATCGCCTCAAACCAATCCATGTGAAAGCCACACCCCTTGTCACCCTCATATTCATACATTTGAAAACCAGTATGTTAGGATGGATGCTTAAATAAACAAAGATGACATTTGAGTAGTTAGTACAAGGTTAACGTTGGAATAGTGACCATAAGGTTCACATGTGAATAGTTACAAACTAATATCCATCGCATAAAATACATGTTCATGAAAAACAAGCATCAATATCACCTAGACAAATACCCATTCACCACAAAACAAATATCCTTCATTTCTCAAACAAATATCCGTGGCGCCCAGACTAACATCCATCCACAGCATAAATAATATCCCCCCTTAAACGAACAAATATCCTTGACACCCTTACTAATATTGCAACCACATAAGCTAATATCCGAAATCACAAACGGACTAATATCAGGGTCTGGAAGACACTTACTCTCCTACTATTATTGTTTCATAGGCCTTCGGCCCATGGGCCCTCGGCGGGCAGCCCTAACTAAGGTTACAAGCCTTATGTGTTAGGACTTGATAGTGTGTTTAATTTTGATGAAAGACATAATATTCATTACTTCGCAAACTAATATACATCGCATATAATATCCATTCATGAAAAAACAAATATCCATACCGCCCAGACTAATATCCGACCATATAAACTAGTGGCCCCTAGATAATTATTTGGTTAAAGATGAATATAATTATCTACAAACTAATGTTCGATCCATCTTAAACTATTATAAGTTCATGACAAACCGTACTACTAATTCAAAACAAAAATACTGATTTAAAACAAAAATACAAACTAAAAAAAACTAATATTCAATCATCTGCCAACTAATATCACACTACCATTGGAAGAGAAGAGAAAGAGGAGATTGAGAAAGAATAAGAATTGGTGGAACCAGCTCTCGCAATTTCCCCTTCCCTTTAGGGGTGGGCATTCGGTCGGCTCGATTTCGACCGAATCAAAATTATGAATATCGGGTCCTCGAATTCTCCCAAACCTCAAACCGAATTCGAACCGAATTATATTTCGGTTCGGTTTTCCACACAAAACCGAATTTGTGAAACTATCACTTTTAAATTATTTTTCACCCCTAATATAAACAATAAATATCAATTATATGCATAATCAAACTTTTCAACACATATGTCATAAAATATTTCAAATATTTAAGTCTAAAACAACTACAAACATAAAAATCCATCATTTGGAGCTTGCAATTATAGAAGTTCGGTTTTTCGGTCGGAAATTCGAAAATTCGGTTCGGTTGAAAGAACGGTGGACCCAGCTCACAAACTCAGCTCCTTAAACCGGCTCTACTGCGGGTTCGATTTGGGCAAAAAAAACCACAAATAGCTCACTTAAATGAGCACATAGCTCATCCCTTGGATCTCTACCGTCTTCACGTGGGCCTCTATCCAACCATGTTAGTATTTACTAACAAAAAGGCATGTTAGTAGTTTAACTTTTTCGAAGGGGGTAGGAAGATAGTGGGTGAGTGATGAGGTTAGTTAGGTTTTTTTTTTTTATGTGAGATGAGTTTTTAATAGATACATGTAAGGTTAATTTCATTTCAATAATTAAATTTTTAAATTACTATATCATTGGTATATATATTTATAATATGTATAAACGGTTCAAACACATTGGACTCCAATCAAATCAATAAACCTCAAAATATTTGCTTGATCGTCTCAATGACTATAAACTTCAATTTTGAATAATATTTGTGAAACAATAAAAATATCGTGGCCAATATGCATCAATTCAAAAGTTCCTTGGCATCCAGTGCTCCTCTCTCCCATTCTACGTTCAACGGTAAGATCCAGTGGAGAGTTCCGGCTGGAAGGGAGTGGACCAACGGCGGAAGCGAAACCCAGCGCCACAGCAATGGAGGACGTGTCAGAGATTGAGACCAGGACCGACTCGTTAAGCGCCTCCATAATCTTCCATGTGATCAGAGATGTAATCGGCTTCGTCCTCTACATGCACCAGCAAATTCCTTCGTGAGTTTTGCTCTCCCCGCTTTATCCCTGATTCCGCCTCTCTCTTTCTCCAATTCTACATGCTCCCCATTCTCGTGCTAGTCACTGTGTCTTCTCCTCTTTTCGCCTGTTAACTATCTCCGCTTCAATTGAATACTGGACTAGTAGTTCTTCTTATTCTACAGGATGAACTGTTTGTTAGGGTTTTGAGAGGATATCGGAAATCTTCTTGCATCTCCTAAACTAGATAATATGCTAGGGAAAACAATTGGTCCGTCTGATCATCTTGTGTGAGAATATTTGTGCTACCAAGGAGAAAGAATCTGTTGTTAATGCCTCAAACTGGATATCAACATTTCATTGCAAAATGAGGATCTTCGTCTAAATTTGCATTTGATTGCATTGGTACCAACTACCATCGAGAAATCTTTACTGGAAATGTATGAAGAAAGAACGGTGCAATATGATATGTTTGTTGTTTACTCTGCAGCGTTTTGCCGGATCTTACCACTGAATTTGATGATCTACAGGCGGAGTATAAGAATTTGGTAATGTTTGCACCAAAATGGTTCTCATTTTCGTCATCCCCTTTGCCTCTCTTGATCATTACTTCTATTGGGAAGGGAACAGTGTTTTATCAGCTTTGGATAAGGGATCCTCTTTATTTGTCTAATTTTTTCATCTACGCTTTGTGTGCTCCCAATCATAGGAGGCTGCACTTTCCCCGTGTGAGGAAGCAAAGGGTTCTTTCAGAAGGAAACATGCAGGGAGAATGAGAGATATAAAGCGTGGAATCAGAAAACTTCAGAAGTTGATGGATACAGTTAATAGTCTTGATACTGCACTCCAGATTATAATTAGTGAGGTTCCTGGAGTTGAGAGTGCAATTTTGATCCTTGGATCCAGTCCAATACGACCTCATCATGTATACGAGTTCAGCTTCACACACGGAAATAATGTGGCAACGAATGCTGGTGATTTCACCAAAAGCAAAGCAGCAGAAGGGCTTGCTAGAAAGGTTCTTCTTGTTGCCATTTCGTTTTCTCTTTTAGTTGCATTTCTATGATACTTCTTGTCCCATTTCCACTCCCATTGTATGTAATAGTAGTCTTGATGTAACAGGCTATCCGAGTGTTGATCTCCAAAGGTGCTGGATCTGGCTCTTACCCAGGTACTTTGTTGGCGAAGCAGGTTCTGAATAAATGTGTGGTTATCTAATGAAAAACTGAGACTGATACCCTTTTCATTTCATTTCCCCTCTTCTCTTAGGCCCTACAAAGTTGTTTCTACTGGTGAAAGCACCGTCTTCTTTCAACTCACCTCTTCATTTTCTTCCGAAACGTGACTTCAGATATAGCAAAAAGGTAATGAGGGTTTAATGCAGTGGATGATCAATACATAACATTTTATACTAAGCTCTCTCGTTGTTGTGATTGTTTTTCTTCATTAAAGCATGAGTTCCATTATTCAGGTAGCATCACTAGGCACGCTCGTAGGCATCTGTTATGATTCTTATGTGGTATGAATGTGCTGAACTTGAGCAGATTTCTCCTGTTTCAGTTGCGTCATTAGTTACCTGGTCTTGTCTTTTGTGTTCCACGTAATATGAAAAGCAACTTCTTTGGTCCTAGGAGATTCTTACTAACCTAATCTAAGAACAGACTGGGTACTCCTAGCATTTCTTTTTAAGTTACTCAAAAGCCAAATTGAGCCACACAGATCTGAAATGACTTGAGGTTATATTAGCACACCATGAGAAGTGTCTGGTTGTGTGTCCATTACTGTGCCCAAATTCACTCCATAACTTATTATTTTGTGCAGGTAGTACCTTTCAGAGTGCGACTCAGGTGTCGAAATCTTCCTCTTGCATTGGCTGACGATGCTTCCCTTACTAGCAGCAGCTCTATTGGTTTGGGAGACTTCAATTCACATGATTTAATCTGGTGAGAACGAAGTCTCAGAAGTCAGCTGTTTTTGTGTCTTAAACTAGTCTCTTCTTGAGAACATCCTTGTGAAATGATTGAAATTTATAACAGAAAACATAAGTATGCAGGGTAATAAGTTTCCGTATTGTTTCTAGAGCTCAATTGCATTGTTTTAGTAGGATTCATCAATATTTGTATGTGACACAAACTGATGGATTTGATATTATATGCAGGTTTCAATGCCGCCATGTAATCAAGGGCCTCACATTCAAGATTCCAGACGAAGAATAAGCAGGTTTGTTTGGCCTTTCCACCAACTGATGCATAGTTTTGTATTCGGATTACGAACAAGTTGTGAGACAGATGGGCTATTGACCAGAGCTTATGAATGTCAGTTAACCATGATGTGCATAAATGAACAGGATAAGTTTAGAAAGTATTCTTGTTTCTTTCATTTCCCTTCTAAGAAGTTTCATTTATTGCAGCAATTATTGTGAAATACAAACAAGAAATATTGAAATACAAATAACTACAGCACCACAAACTGGAGATTATGACAACAAATCAACAATAGAGCTTTTCCGTGCATTTTTCTCTTTTATGACAGCCATGAATAACAATGAATCAATCTGTTTACTGCATTCCAAACTAGTATGTCCATTCTTTAGGCAGAAATATCTCTGGCGAAGCATTCTCATTCTGCTGTGGCTCAACTATAGTCGAATAATTATGCCTCGCAGCAGCAGCAGTATTGTTGATGCGTCCAGGTTTGGAGTTACTTTTGGCATCTGCAGGTACACACAACAAGTCAATAACAACAACAAATTCCTGATCTGATGTGGATAATGTGATACTATGCACAGAGGAGAAGAAAGTGACCTAGTTGATGGCGGCGGGTGACTTGCAGGGCAATGTCATTGACATTGAGGTTTAGGGCTTGAACTACTCGTGCTGGGAGGAGAACAGGTGAGCAAGCTGCAGAGGACGATAGATGGGAGCAACCAAAATCGTATCATAGGTTCATGTACATAAGCTCAGAATAAACAAATTACTAGTCGGAGGTTGCAAACCCAATCCACTTAAACCCATTGAACAAAAAATGATTTTAACCAAAATCTATTGGGTTGGGTTGATGGATTTCTCTTTTTATACATTACTGTTTGGTATTCCATTTAGTCCGAATTACAAACTGGTCAATAAAATACATGCAAGTGGGGGTGGGGGAGGCTTTATCCTAGAGTCCCACTGACCCGCCCGATTCAGGGTCGGGTTAAGTTAGTTTGTCTATAGGGTCACGCGGTACGTTTAGAATTGGGTCATCTTTTGACCTCTGAAGAATGTGGTAGTGTTGGGTCAACTTATGGGCGGATCCCCTGGGGCTGGTTATGTTCGCCTTCCATCTCGTACTCGTCCTCGGAATCGCTGCTCAAGTGGTCGTCTATGCGCTCCACCGTAGCCAGTCTAGCTCGCTGTTGCCTCCTAAGTTGGCGACAGGTGCGTTCAAGCTCCGGATCCAATTGCAGTAAACCTCCTGACTGGCTACGGGTCATGCACTACCTGCACACAGTCAAGCAGAAAACCCGTGAAGGCACAAGTGTGACAAAGCAAACAATGCTAAAAAGAAAAGCTAAATTAACAGAAATCACATTTCTTCAACAACCTAGCCGTCCCCCGGAAACGGCGCCAAAAATTTGACTCGCTCCTACCGTCACTCTAGAAAATGACCAAGTGTAACCACCTCCTAAAGCGTAGTATAGCGGGTTTGGGTTTTAATGTCAACCCGGGTCCTAAGTGTGATGACTACTTCGTGAGTTCTTATTATTTAGCAGTGGAAAGATCCAAACAAGCAAACAAGCAAAGCAGGTAAAAAGGTTGTTTTCAAGTCAAGAGAGGTCAGCCGGATATAGTTCCCCCTAGACTGCAGTTAAGCCAGATTGTAATTTACCAAGTTTTTATTCCAATGATAGTTATACTGCGAGAGGTTCTTAAACAGTCTGAGTCTCGACTAAAGGTCTCCAGACCCTCTCAATCTGAGTCCCCAGCGGGCGACTAACCTCCACTGGAGTAAACAGATTGAGGCCCTAACGAACCAAACCTCCACTACCGAAGTAAATCCGGTACAGAATAGTGAATTGACTCCTCGACTAAAGTCGCCAATTTACTACCTTCAATCAAGGGTGCTCTATCAACCTAGGCAGATATTCTCTTTCTAGGCTAAAGTAGAAATAACAGGAATTTGATCAGGATTCATGCCATTCAACAATTCAAACCTCAATTGAATATAATCAAATCATAGAATCTGTACTTGGGTTCATACAATCAGACCTAACATACAAATCTAGGGTTCCTCATACCCAGGTGAAAAGAAAGTTACTCCATAGAGAGAGATGGGAAATCTAGATCAGATGCGGAAACCATACTGTGAAGGATGACTATCTGCTTCTGGCACTCAATCAGCTCTCCTCCAAGCTCAAGTCGGGCTCCAATGGTGATGGAGATCGATCAAGGACACTTGCAGAATCAGGTTTGTCACTTTCTCTCTCTAGGTAGCGCTTTTTCTCTCTAAAACTCGGAACCCTTCACTTTTGCCCTTCTTTTCCCTTAAGAGGCTGTCTGACGCGATCCCCGGCCTGAATACCCGGTCGGGTATTTTAAGTGGAGACCGAGTATTATCAAAACGCACCGTCGGGGAACAGGGGAAAATCCCCGGTCAAGGCCAAGAATACCCGACCGGGGATTTTTGATTACTGCCCGGGCCCCCTTCTGCTTCTCAAACGCCCAAAAGAGGTTTTCCCCGGTCTGCTCCGAATAATACCCGGTCGGGTATTTCTGCCCTTGGCCGGGTATTTTGCTCCTCCAGCACACTTCAACCCAAACGTGCTCCTTTCGACCCGAAACTCGTTTCTTCGCCTCGATGCCAACGCCAAGCCCTGAAATATGACATAAACGCACAACCTAGCGTGAAATCGGCTTAAAACACGAGAATCAACATCTCAAACGGCTCAAGAATAGGGGTAAAAACATGTGCCATCAATGGTCTATCAGTGTTCTGCTGTATTGAATCTTGCTCTAGATGATGGCCCTTGTTTTACTGCTCAAGTGGAATACTATAGTATCCCACCTGCCTGTTATACTTGCAACTGCTTTGGGCATGATTGTAGTAAAAATTCTCATTTTAAAAGGGTTTGAATGCTTAAACTAAGGAAGTAAGTGAGTAACCAATTGAAGGGGTAGATGCCTCAGTTCCTGTAGTTCAAGATGAAGCTAGTTTGGAAAGATTACATGATGTGACTGCATAGCTCAATGTAGAGGCTTTACTGACTGGACCTGTTACTGAATTGGTGGATGTAGAAGTGCATGAAGTAGATTTGCCAACTGTTGCATAACTAAGGGAAAAGGAGTTACACACATCTTCTGGGGACAATGGGAAAGAAGGTGAGGTGATGGAATAAAGTGAGTTAGCTTTGGAGGAAGAATTGCAAGAAGTGGTGCAGGGTAGGAAAAGCCTTAGTCCATAGCTGCTGCAAGACTAGTAAGAGGAAAAAGGGTAATAGTATTTCATGGAGAGGAAGGCTACATTTCCCTAGATATTAATGAGGTGCATTCGGTGGCAAGTATCTTAGTCCCATCAACTAAGTCTGAAGCATTATTGACTAAGGGTGGCAAGGGTAGTAAAACTGGTGTTGGGGGAGGGGGTTGTAGGAAGACTAAGAAGAAATGTTAGTGGCCTCCCGGAACATGAGAGGTTTTAATAGAGCCTCCAAACAAGAGTTTATTAGTAAGTGTCTCCGACAACATAACATTGATATAATGGCAATAATGGAGACAAGAATTCAATAAAGTAAGGTGGTGGAGATATGTAGAGATCACTTTTCATCCAGGAAGATAATTGATAAATTTGACGATTCCCACACCAATAGAATCTAGGTGTTTCATAAGCCAGATTTGAAGATTATCCCTCGAGTCACATAAGAGAATTTCCTGCATATGGAAGTTACTTTATTCGGGTCCAAATGTACACATTTTACCCTCATTTCTTATCTGTTATGCTTAGTAGATCACCGTCCCTCGACCTATTTTATGCTAGATTGTCCTTGTTTTGATACATTTCAGGTCCTAGCACGTGTGGAAGGGTCGCGGACGAGTTGCGGGACGATTGGAGGTCAAAAAGCGCAATTGCCCCATAATTGTGAAGCGCAGGCATCTAGGAAGCAGCCGAAGTTCACAGTCTAGCATTGGAGTTCACGGTCTCCAGGATCGTGAACAGCGAGGTGTCTAGGAGGGTTCCAGAGATCACTGACGACCAGGAAGTTCATGGTCTCTAAGACCGTGAACTTTGAGTGCAAACCGTGAACCCTAGAGAGTGAAGCGGTGCGTCTTGGTGACGACACTGAGTTCACAGACGAGTTTAGGTGTTCACGGTCGTGAACTGGAAGACCGTGAATTGGGCGCGATCTGGGTATAAATTGGGAGCTAAAAGGTAGAAAAGGGAGAGCTGGTTTTTGGAGAGGAATTATTTCTTTCTCTAGGGTTTCAACCCAAAGCACCAAAGGGGAGTTCTAGTGAGAGAGAGAGAGAGAGAGAGATCTTGGAGCTTAATTGAAGGCATTTATCAAGCTTGGAAGCAAGGAATCAAGCCTAGAAGAAGAAGATGAATATTTGAGGTTTCTTTGTAATCTCTCCTCTCGCTCTCTAGAAACTCACCCTCTTCTCTTGGGTTTAAGAAACCTAGGTCTAGATTTGGGTTTAATGTTGATGTATGTGACAAACTCCATGATTGATTGATGATTTTACTTAATTGATGGATGTTTTCATGAATGGCATGAGTGGGTTTCCATTTTCATGTATTGAGCTTTTGACCTATGAGGGAGATAATCCTCTTAGAGCCCCCTTTTGGTGTCTTCGGGTCACTCCTATCGTATATTGTCAGGGTAGTCCCCGAGGGAGTTAATTCGACCGATCTCCTAACATTATATGAAACCCTAGGTTGAATAGAGAATTACCCATCCATCGATTCATCGTTCCGGGTCATTCCCGAGGGAGTCCATCTCCAAACGGTAGTGTATTTGAGTCTATCGAGTTAGAAGGATACCCAACATCGATCCAAAGAACGGACCAAGGACGATTCAACCCAAGAGAGCTCCCCAACTTGTAAATATCTAGGTTAGTGGTTAGTCTAGGTTAGTTAGTTTAGTTTTATTAATCACTATCCTAGGTTGGCTAGATACGCACCCTAAAACTGAAGCCTAGATCCTCGTGGTACGATAAATTCTTATTGCTTGCCTGCCCTATGCTACACCCATTCGGCGTTTATACTTGGCCGTCAATTGGGATTTTGTAGTTAGAACGAGTCATTACTAGTAGAGAGGCTAGTAAAATGACAGTGGTATATGGTCCAAATGACGAATCTGTCAAAAAAACATTATTAAAAATGTGTGCATTGAAAGAATCTAATCAGCCTTGGCTTGTGTTAGGTTATTTCAATGCAATATTAGAAGTCACAGATGCTTCTAATTGGACACTACCTGGAGCTAGTAGAATGGATTTTCAATAATGGATAGAAGAAATGCATATAGAGGAACACAAGGTCACAGTAAGAGAAAGATTTAAAAGAAATACAGGAGTTGGTTTTCCTCAACCCATCTTATTCTGACTTAATTGAACAAGAAGTTAAGCTATCGCTGAGTGCCTACTATACCAGAAGGCTAAAGAGATATTTTTTAGAGGCAAGGACCCAACTATTTTGGAGGGTGATCAAATACAGCTTACTTCCACCAACCTTCAAAGATAAGGAAACACATCAATACCATCTCGTTGCTAAGAAAGGATAATGGCACAGATGTAACAAATGTAGAGGAGATTGGTAAGGTTGCTGTTGAATTTTACAAGAAACTGCTAGAGGTGGAAAAATAATAAAGTGCAGGCTTGTTCCATAGAGGACATTTAGGAGTTACTCTTCCATAGATTGTGTCTAAAGAAGAAGGAGCAAGGTTGTGTGCTAAGGTTTCCAACGAAGAAATAAAAGAAGCTCTATATGGAATGGGATCAAATCAGGCTCCTGACCATGATGGCCGCACAACTAAGTTCTACAAAGCTGCTTGGAGCACAGTGGGATAAAGATGACAGAGGAAGTCTCATCCTTCTTTGAAACAAATTTTCTGCCAAAAGAGATCAACTATACAGTTCTATCCCTTATTCCTAAGGTACTTGGTGCTGACCATATGAAGTTGTTCAGACCAATTACATATTGTACTGTGCTTTATAAATGCATAGCCAAGATCCTTTCTAATAGGTTATCTAGAATTCTACATAATCTGATAAGTAAAATCCCGTCAACATTTGAATGGTAGGCATCTGTGATAACAACC